CTGCATCAGTCAACGCCCCGCGACTAGCTTCGTGAAAAGAAGGGCGTCCGAAATGGCCGCATCATGAAAAGGTAATGAGGAGTGACATTGCAATCCATTTTTTTCTTTTCCCTCACTTTGATCGTAGTCCATTCCCTTGGACAAGGGTGCGATGAGTTGATGGAAAACGGATATTAAGTTGCGATGTAGATGAAAAGGGCGAATGCGTCTAAGCCCAGCATGTTGTTTATTTAGTCTCCCGCAGTTTGCAGGTAAATTTAGATCCGTACAAACCGTCTCCACGCACAGCTGCCGTCGCGTTGTAACGTCAATTTTCAGTGAATCTCCTAGGCGTGACGATGCAGGCGTTTCGACAGCTTAGTGATCCGACAAATGTACAGCAACTGAAGACCTTCGTAGATGAGTACTTTCTGCCGCCCGGTTCAGAGCTGGCACATTGCTACCCTTCTGACTGGAAGCCGTATCCCGCGTCGCTGGAAACCATTAAAGACCCTAACTATCGACTGTGGGCTTTCGATGTCAACAGCAAATGGACGAAGCTGTGCCGACGGGTAAGCGATGGTGCAGTTTTATGGTTTTATGCAAGCGTATGAGAACCGATGCTGTTGATGCGCATGTGTCGTCTGTGGTAATGTACTATTCGCTGAACGTGACGCAACATACGTGTTGCTTTTGTTGCTGTTGTTGTTGTTGTTGTTGTCGTTGTAGTCACCTAAGCTTACAGATGCATTCACAGCAAGCCAGCTAGATTTTCAATGCGCATGACAGTGTATAACGGTGTCACAGATCAACACTGAGCCACGCTGGCCACTGCGGCGAAGGCAGACCATCATCGACAACTGTTAACGGAGCACTGGTGAGTTATCATTTTGTATCGACGACACGTGACACTAAAAACTGACAAGCGCACGTGTCTCAATTAATTTTGCCGATCGTGTCTCACAGTGACGAATAACGCGATACGAGCGCTATCGTGATGGATCGATGCCAGTGGTCTGGGACGTTGCCCATCATGTAACCTCGCACGCATCTGACCTGGCTCGTGCCATCGACGACGGACACAGTCCGTCTCGGCGAGCTGAGTGATCAACGGAGTCGAGTAACAAGTAACGTTGTTAACGTCGTACGTTCCGAGCTAGGACGAAGGACTGAGACACACTGCCCCTATCAGAGTCCCCAACGGAACGTGACAGAATATTTTCGTGAACGAAGGCCGAAAGGTTTACTGCCTGAATGAGATCACAGCAAACCGTGTTTTTCAGGATAGTTAAAAAGGCATTCATAAATAAATAACATGAAACAATTACTTGATAAATATGAATCGAATAAATGCGAATGAGGTCACAGAGTAGATCGTAAACAGCTGAATCAAAACTGAAATCATACAACACTGTGATACACTAAGCATATAAAAATGGTGCTGACGGACAGCCTGCTGGTTTCTGGGGAGTTGGTGATGAACCTGGGGCAATGGCTCTTCGAAACAGGTTGGTTCAGGAAGATACGCTGACATAAGATGATCTGGTGGACGCACATCGTGACTGGCACCTGGCAAGGCTATCGTGCAGTAGGTAGGTTGGGTTATTCAGAATCTTCGTGGCTATTTCCCCGCCTTGGGCAACAGAAGATTTGGCAACAGACATATAAGCATCTCTGAAAGGCAGACCGCTTAGTTTGGAAGCTAACGTTAGTGACCTGCTGATGATCTTGATGTCACACACCTGCAGCACGAGGAATGCCACTGCAGCATACATATAGAGGGGAATGATACACGCGAAAACGAAGTTCTTAACTGCATATCGTGGTGCCTGAAGTTTCCCAATCTTCTAGCGTTAAAGTAGGCCTTGCAGCAGCGTTTTGCTGATGCCAGGTAAGATCGAATGAAAAAATCACGCCAAAGTGCATAATATGTTGTACTTGGGACACCGTGACTGCCTAGTGACCAGCATCTCACTGGAAAGTTGAAACGGCCTTTTTTGTACCTCGCATCAGAGAGATCAACTCCTTCGTCTTCTCCGAGTTCAAAATAAGACCATTTGAGGAGAAAGAACTCTACATAGTGGAGACGCAATCCGATCTCTTGTAAGTGTTCCAGTCTTTGGTCGACTGCAAGCATTCAATCACGTCTGCGTCATTAGCATACTTGATACTTGTCAGACGGCATCAGTGGTGGTGGTGGGGGGGGGGTGTCCTATACGAATATATTAAATAAAACGGGTG